CCCCCAAAACCCCAAAACCCCAAAACCCCATAGTGGACAATCTAAATAGATTAAGATCAAAATTGATAAATTAATAAACAAATTATTAATAATAATTACCAAACTTTAAATAACGTGTACTTATTAATTGCATAAAATCATGGAAAAATCAAAAAATTCATTTACGTGTACTTTTGATCAAAATTTAATAACGATCCTTGTTAGCTATCTTGATTTTCAGTCCGCATTTCAAGGCCTTTCTAATGTAAACAAACAAGTCAACTCGTATTTCGTTGATAATGGAGTGGATTACATCTGGAAACTCTTGTTTACTACGGAATTTTCGGCTTATGAATATCCAGACCACAAAAAAGCCAATGACGAGTCAAATTATCAATACTTTAAAAGATCATTCATGAAATTTAAAGTTTTTAGAGAGCTCCTAAAGAATATATTTGAATTGACCAACCAGAAAAGGTCTAAAAAGCAATACGGATTTCTCAGAAACTATGAAGACAGGGAAGTCCCATAGTTCCACTATATCGAGGAGTAAATAACTTTCGAGATAGAATGTCTTTTCAAAAACCTTAATGACCAAGACCCTTGCAACATGGTTCTCGACCCTGACGAGGAACACGAATATTTCTCAAACTTCAAGCTACATACAATGTCCTTCAACAATTACAACCTTCAGACAGTGCTACTTACTTCTTCATCAATTCTCAACTTCCGTATGATCTTACAATTGAAAACTGGTATAAAAGGTTTTCCATTCACTCATACAAACAGATACCGATAGTGCAACTTTATCGACTTGAACAACACTTTTGGAATGGGTAATAATACGGTGTTTTCGATGGCCGGAACTGATAAAAGCCACGTATTATTGATAGCACCAAATATTGAGACTTATCTGAGCAGACATTACAGTCTACTAAAGGATGATAATTTATTCATCCACAATGGGGAAATTCACCAGTTTACCAAGAATCCCTTAGTAAACAATGGCTCTGTATCTACCTCCAACGGGCTCAAAATAGAGGTACAAGCTTAAATTAACCACATGTTCTGCCGCTTTGACTCTAGTTTACATGAAGATGCTCCCAAATACTCATTTGTATATCAAATGAGGATTTCTGTAGACACAGAAGAAGAAGCCTAAAATAACTTTGTCCCTTGCAAATTACTTGTAAGAAAAAACACTTCTAATTTTTTTATAGTAAAGACATTATCGAATATTCAATAAAAATTCTAGCCGCATCGTGGCAGGAAACGGGTTGAGTTGCTAAAATAAAAAGTTCCCAATCTTTAATTAACCAACAGACCCAGTTTTTATTTACACAAATGTCCTCGAAATGAATGATCTAGACTACACAGTAGAGGGCTACTTTACTCTTAGGTACTTGAAAGAAGGTGAAAAAGCGGATGATACAGCTGAAAACGTGTCTGATGTTGATCCATCCCTACTTTTTAAAGTGTACATAAACCCGTTTAAATTATGCCTTCCAGAAGGTTAAGAATTTATCAAGAATCCCGATTTTTAGGGTCATATGAATTATGAATGAATCAATCTTCCTGGGGAAATTATAAGTAATAAATCAGTAAATATCATGATCTAATTTGGAATGTTCGATATGATCTTTTTAAATAGTATTTATAATACTTATCCTATTTTATCTCTTTTGATAATTCACTAGTATTTATTTAATCATTAGTTACGGGGTTTTGGGGTTTTGGGGTTTTGGGGTTTTGGGG